AAGATTTTTTGGTTCACAAAACTGAAAGTTTACTTTTGGTTCCACTCTGAAAAAAGATATTGAAAATGCAGAAACTGACTTATTTTTTTCCTCCTCGGTAAAAAGGCACTTGATGCAGAAACTGATTTAATACACTATTGTACTGAGTTTCAAATGTAAACAAATGGTAGCTCGTTAGGCTTAATTCGCCCCTTAAAACTTTAAATTGTTAATAATTTTACAACAATTTAGTACGGATTAACTAAAGGCAGAAAAGCCCTTAACCGGAACACAAAATCTACATAATTCAATAATTTTTAAAACAAAAAATTCACAATTTACCAACATACAAGAATTAATAAACTAAGCTAATGGAGCCAGGTAGTACAGTCGGAATATATATGTGTAAGATAAAAAATATGAAAGCAAACTTCTCATTTTAATTGGCTATAACCTCTTTTATTTTTCATTTATTTTGGGGACTTCCTCTCTCTATCTTAAAAATAGCGCTGAAGTCTAGACTGCGTTACGTAACGCTTAATGCAGAAGATACCTCTTCCGAATCACTAAATAATTTTAAACCAAAACTTTTTTTAATTCGGACTGAAACTTTTTGACTCCCTCCCTTCTTCCTCTGAAGTGTTGCAACACTTTTCGCTTACGCTTTCGTCCTGGCAAGACACTTTGCGGCTATCTTCTTTGTTCACTGAATATGTGCTGAGCTAACAAAAATGTAGGGCGCATAAGACGCCCGTCCGTATGTGAACCAAATATTGCAAATCCAGAATTCCTTCCCCGAATAATAAAATTATCATGAATCCGGCCATGTCTGCCTTGCCAAGTTTCTTCGCTACCCATCTATTATGCCACCTCAAGTTCCAAATCATGTTTTATATATCTATATATATATCATAATATATATCATAATATATATCATAATATTATATATGTCATAATATATATATATATATATATACGATTGGTGCAGCCGATTGCAACAAATAGCAGTTCCATATAGAAAATTTCAACGTTTTATGGCTACTCGTTCTTGAATTGCGCGAGATACATACGTAGTACTGACGTACAGACAAATAGACGTAAAAAAATGTCTTCTGAGTTCATTTTAAACCCATTTTGCAATCCTTTTTGGTAAAAACACTTCTTTATTCTATCCGTACGTACAGATGTTATGCAATAACATTGGGAGAGCGGTTGGAATGGATTTTTTCCTTGGAATATGATACCTGAAATTATTTGCGATTATAATACTTCCTTTGCTTCGTACAAGGAAGTAAAAAGCATTCTCAAAGACATCATCTTCGGAGCAAAAATGCATGCTAACAAAATTTATGTATGCAAACCTAAATTGGGACATAATAAAATTTAACATTTGAAAATCATTCTTCAGCTTTTATGGTGCATGATCTAACTCACTAAGTCTTTTTAATCCACTTTTACTAGAATCCACTTTTACTTTCACTATTACTAGAAGATCATTTCTCCTTTCCAAAACTCGCAAATTGCATAGATGATTTCATTTAAATTTAAATCATTTTAAAACTTTTTTTAAAAATTCAACAACAAAAAGTAAAAAAAAAATATTGATAAATATCAAAACTTGAATAAAATTTGCGTTTTATAATCACAAACTATAATTAAATACTTAAGAGATAAATAAAAGGCTGACCGCATTCCCTTTGAAAGTATGGAATTCCTGCTAGGGGAGAATTCTCCCCTTGTTAAGAACCCCTGATCTAGCTGAATGTTTTTTCTGTGCAAGAAAAATTATTGTTATATTACAAAATTGTTACAAATTTTGAAAAATTTTGAAAAATTAAAATACAAATTGAAAAATTATTGTTTTAGAAAAATTATTGTTATTGTTATATATATACGATTATTGTGGTCCAAACAAATACAAATCTAGGACTACAACTGACTGGGAAAAGATCATGTCTCGTTTATTTTTTCACATCTGATGTTGTTAGAGGAAGCAACAGTGAATCAATAAGACCTCAATGTTAATAAAGTATGAGAAACTTATCTTAAAATTTTCTTTCAGATAAGCACTTACCTTAAATCTGCAGCATATATTTGTTGAATCTGACATTCCTTAATCCATTTCAAATTGCAATCACAATTTAAAGGATTCTTCTGAAGGTTGAATTTTCTCATCTTTGCGCACTGGATGTTACCCTTCCGAAACGAGCTAATTTCGTTGCCTTCGAAATCCAGCTCTTGAAGCGTAGGTCTAGTCTCATTGAATAACCCCTCAAAAGCAAATGCATTGATCTGCTTCAGCCGACGATTATATTTCATTTCTAAAGTATGAAGTCTGACAAGATCTGTAAACGTACGTTCTCCAATTTCCTTCAGATTTTCCATGTAATTCAGTTCCAGAATCTCCAGAGAACTTAGACGAACGAATGATTTTCTGTCTAGGGTTTCGATTGGATTTTCGTTCAATCTCAAGTGCCTGAGCTTCTTGGCACTGCGTAAGGCATCCGTGGGAACATCATGGTAGTCATTATCCGATAAATCTAAAAACTCTAGTTGTGCTGCAGTGTGATATAAGTTTGGTGCTAAAGAATATCCATCGATATTTGAAAGATCTAGCCATCTCAGGTTAATCAACCTGTTGAAATGAATTGGATCTATATGGACCAAAGGGTTGCTTGCCAGGGATAGTTCTTGAAGACCAACGAAATTGTAGAAAATACCGTCTGGTAGTGTGTCCAGAATATTGCTGCTTAAGTTGAGAGACTCAAGATGTTCCAAGCCATAAAAGGTATTATAGTCCAAAGTTTTAATTAAATTGCTTGCAAGGTTGAGATAGCGCAAACCTTTTAAGCCATCAAATGCATATTGTACAATTTTCCGGATGTTATTATGACTTAAGTCTAACACTTGAAGAAAATCATGCGTCATTCCAACATCTAAAGATGAGATGTTATTCGAATTCAAGTCCATGTGAGTTACATTGATCGGCCAGTCATCCACCGATGGAACGATAGCAAGGTAAACTCTCGAACAGTCTGCTATAACGACTTCATTATCTTCAATATTTTCACATTCACAAAGAGTTGCACAAAGTATGTTAGTTGCAACTGTAAAGGTGCTGCAAAATGATAAAAACAGGAAACAAATGATACTGGTCATGGTACTGCTCATCTTCTTTCTGACCTTAAAAGTAGGGCCCATTACCTATCAAAGAGTAATTAATGCATTTCATTATACAATATATTAAATAGCAAACTTTTTTAAGGTTTCCTTCAATAACAAACTGAAAAGAACAGCTCCAAATAATAGATTAAAAGATATAGAAAATAAACATTTTTGAAATATCTCGTACCGTATCTTCTGCAAAAATTGGCACTATAAATGCTACATTTGTCCCTTCAAGATAAAAGCAAGGAAATGGATATGTTAACTTTTTAATGTGACAGACCATTCAGAGATAGCATTAAAAGAAGAATTTTATTACGCATTTTGAATAAAATTTCTAAAACATTCTATTTCCGAATTTTAAACTAAATCTATCCTACAGACTGCATATGGATATCTTAGCAAGAACATATGTGAGTACAGGTATGCTGACTCGCGACCAGGGGACCACATGTGGCATTTTTCTGTGGCCCTTGTTTCATCGCGAGAAAATAACAAAAAATTATAGATATAATTTGTTAATAAGTATTGGAATTCCACTTAATATTGAGGCATATATACAACATCGGGTGTAAAAACTAAAATTTCCTGAAATAGTCTGCTTACAAAACTATCTTTTTGTTAACCGATGAGGAGAAAGTATCAGCCCATTTGTAGAGTCAATAGGTTTATTGCCGCACAGGAAACATGAAAAATTAGGAATGCCCACTCCGTGATTTCGAATGTTCCGACTGGTAACCGGACACACTTTCCAATCATACGACGAAGAGAAATGATAAAGAAGAGGAAACTTGCTTACACATTTAAATTTGGAGTTACTATAGTGTGCAAATTAATCGGGAAAAAACGATTTTTTCATGAAATTTTAAGTTGGTTGACAGTTAGCTCCAGCAGGTCCCGCAAAGCAGTTTCATCTGCCGTAATATCAGCTGCATGTCTAGTTTTGACAAGTTGCAACTGGTTTCGACAATTAGTTAGGATTATTGTACCATTTTAAGCTTGTATCTGTGAGCAACAGAAGTTATTTTTACATACTTTTTAAGTATGTTTTGAATTCACTCATTTGAGTGTACTGAAAATAAATATAACACCTAGAAAAGAGAGCAAATATTATTGCAATTCTCAGTCACCCACCATGACAGTAACACATATTGTTCTGGGGTTCCTGGTGGAAAATCGAGCGTTTTTCAAACTCCGAGGAGACACAATGAAACTGGATCATTTTCTCAAAAAAGGAAGGATAAATGGGTAAGGAGAAGAAAAACAAGTCTAAAAGTTGATCGATACCTACTTCGAAATGGCATTATTAATGCAATGAAAACTAGTAAAGACCTTAAATCTGTTATCTTTCGGTATTGATATTCATCCTTCAAACGTACAGCATATATACTTTTCACTACGAGAAGAACGGCGAGAAACCCTATAAGAAACAACTTTCGACACGTCAAATGAAGGAAAACGATTATTGTGGTCCAAACAAATACAAATCTAGGACTATAACTGACTGGGAAAAGATCATGTCTCGTTTATTTTTTCACATCTGATGTTGTTAGAGGAAGCAACAGTGAATCAATAAGACCTCAATATATCCGACAGACCGCTAAATACCTTCAGAAACGAATGTTTCAATTTTTTTTTTCGCTGCATATGGAACTGGAAACTTGATGAATTCGGAGAAATATAACAGAAATTTTAAAACATAGGATTGTGCCATTCTCGAACACCTTTGCAGGATCGTTTCAGCATGACTTGGCTCCATGCCAAGATCAGAAGGTTCATGTTGGAAAATAAAATTATTGTGCTATATTGGCTTGGAAATTCACCTAACTGAAATACAACCGAAGACCTTGTGGCACATTCTCGAGAAACATCTTAGCAAAATGGATTGTACGGGAAAAAAAGCATAATTAAGAATGGTGTGAAGATAAAGAAGTTTTATGATAAAGAAGTTAAAAAATATATGCAGAAGACTAGTAGAGTCAATGCGTAAGCGCATTGTAGAATTCATTTGTTAAAAGAGGACATATTTCCTATTAAGACACAATAACACGCCGAATAAATACTAATTCAGAAGTCAAACAACAAAAATCAGCGTTATATTTACAAAATTTTCACAGGACTAGTTTCGATGGTTTTACCGAATCACCATCTTCAGCTGCAAAACCGCAAATGAACAAGATAGGAAATAATGATTAGATAAGATAAGAAAGGCCTGAACAAGAATAAGCAAGTGGCGCCATCTGTTGGTGAAACCAGAACTAAAACATAATTTCTTTAAAGGCCGAAGGCAAATTTGGATTGGAATTAGGATCGTTAACTAGAACAGAAAGATTTTTATGAATGTCAATATTTCCTATTAATTTTGTTATTATCACAGTATTTGAAAGTATGTATATAAATTATTAAAATAATCTCTTTTTCCCGATTCATTTGTACACTACAGTAACAGAAATTCAGTGAAGCAAAAATTCAGTGAAATGGATTTCGCCAAATACTTGCCTTACAAATACTTGCCTGTTCGTTTCGCAGAAAGCTGTAAATTTGCATCGTGCGTGATTTCTATGTTTAATAAGCACGAACCAGTCTGAAAAAGCTTTCTATCTTACGAAATGGAACAAGTCCCAGCGAGATCCAATTAAACACATGTTGTTTATCTGACCTCTGTTTCGAAAATCGCTAGTACAAGCAGCATGACTTCAGACACCAGAAAGCTGATTGCAGGAAAAAGGTACCAGGTGTCGAGAAAGAAACGACCAGATGCCCATCTAACTCTACGGAATTCCTTGTCTCTTCTATTTATTTAGAAGCTACAGTATTAGGTTCAGTTTTATGTATTTACGCACTTTTTAATGCATCATTAAGAATGAAAATAGTGTTTTTAACTTGTGGCCCTCAATATTGATGACTATTTGATCCATCTGAGATAGACATATATGTGTTGCAACCTTTCCACATGTTGTCTGCTTTTAAAGGACTGTTAAATGCATTTTTCACGATTTTGCGATTTTTAAAGAATGCTTCGTCGAAACAGATATAACATGAAATTAAACGTGACTTCGTAGGGTAAAGATCTATGTCAAGAAATTTTCATTTATGTTTCAATAGTTAATGACAAAATTCTGCTCTTTATTACATTTGAAATATATGCTTTTATCAAAAGTGTAAAAGATAGAAAAGAACTTTTACAGAGGCTGTTCGCACCTTTTTCAGACGATTTTGCTTTTGCTGTATAAAAATCGTCTGCTTGGAATTCGTTTTAACTGCAGTTATGTTTTGGAAAGTATAAATTATCGTCTACTACTTCACTATTTTGTTTTCATGCAAAATGATGCTTTTAAAGAAGCAATAGATGGAAGTCTGTGTTTTTGTTCTTTCCAAAGAAATTTATACGTATCTAGTTATTAAAAAGCGTTGTGAAAACTAAGGTTTTCCGATATTTAAAGTTACGATAGGTAATGTTGTCAACAACAAAGGAAAAGAAAATGCCAAAAATTTAACTTAAAGTGGAAATGTTGTTCCAAATACGTATCCAAGGAAAAAACGGAATGTTTCGGATGTTGCAAAGGTAAGATCTTAAATGTTAGAAAGAAAATCCGCGAAGTCAAAGGGCAGTTGCAAAATCATTAAAATACTCTGTCAATTGTGCCAAGTACTTAATTTGAATCTTAAAAAAAGGTGAAAAAAACATAATGAACGTTTATAACCAAAACTACCATATACAAAAGATTCACTTGGCCTTTAAAAAAAAAAAATACGATTAAGATAAAACATTACAATTACATGTTTAAGTTACAAAGTAAATCTCGGGGAAACAGAATGCTTAGTTCATAACTCCCGTACATCGACTGAAGGCTATTATCTTTTTAACCGGTGTTTCTTCCGGCGGCCGCTAGGTGGCCCTCATTGAGCCGTGGGGTTACACGTCGTCTTTCTCCAAGACATAAAGCCGAACGCTGAAAGCGCTGGAGAATTCCTTATGAGAAACATTCTTCCGGGGAAAAATGGTAAAATGCTGTCACAATAGATGAATCTTGGTTGTAATGAGCGCGATAAAAAAGAGATCAATTTATTATCATCAAGGAGGGCAAAAATTCTAAAACATGGTTAAGAAATTTTTAAAAAAGAAGGTTTTTCAAAAGGGTTTATGAAATGTTGTTCACTTTTCACATAACGGCAAATTAAAAGTAGAGTGAAGAAAAATGTTAAGATCAACTCCACATATTACCAGCAACATAAATACCTTCTCTTTATCCACAGTGCCATCCGTCACTAGAACTGCATCAAGACAAAGCATGCAGCCGCGCGTCAAAATCCACGGTTAATTTTCCTTAAAAAACAGAACAAAAAACGAGTATCCAGGCCATGCATTTCATTCATATCCCTACCAAACCTCGCGATATATCCCCCATGGAATTTTGCGCTTTTGGGCTTTTAAAAAGTACGTTATCTAAACAATGACTAACAATTCTCCTTGGATTTCAGAAAGCTGTTGAAGAGGAATGGGATAAAAGACCTCTTCCAATACTATAAAAGGCTTTATTGTCTTAGAAAGTACGGTGTAAAAAGATAGTGAAGAATAAAGATTATTAAATAGAACATTTAAAACACAAAAATTTTAGATATTTCTGTAAATACAATGAAAGTCGTTCAAAAAATGTACGAACAGCCTATCTATTAAGAGACTGATAACTTAACTGATAATCATATTAATGAACTCATGAATAAATATCATTATTTGTAAAGCAATTTTAAGTCCTTATAACGTTTAACATTAAGTGCTTATCCAATTTGACCATTATCAATTATAAAGGGCCAGTAAAAAATTTCGATTCATAAGCTAAAGAAGCTGCTTATCTCTTTTAATGAGTATAACTGAAACTTTAGTCAAGCTGCTTTTATTTTTAAGTTATACAAATTGAAGAGGAATTCCCCCCTTTTTTTGGTTTAATTTTCATCTCATTGAAAGTTTTTTTTATTTCAAATGGTTAAAGGAAGCAGTCATAATGAAAATTATTTTTATTTTTTCAAAGCGCTAATTT